ATAGCTCCTCAACTAAGCAAAATCGCCCGACAAAATATATTTTTTTCTTAATCCAGAAATTCTGCTCGATCGAATGGTGTATTAGTATTGTTTCAATATCCATAGCGAATTGATTCCTGACGCAGTCTGATGAAACATCGATTTACTTTCACTTAGAGTTGTTTGATTACTGCCTCCTTCTGAGCAGTGATCAAACAGCAGTCATGTTCTCAGTTCGTTCTTTTATATGCTCCTTTGACAGCTGTCGTGCAATTCATCGAGTTCTGGGAGATTTCTGGAAGATTCACACCTTTACCTAATCCGATTCCACATAATCTTACACTGCAGTGGTTGTTGTTTGCAATTGTTTCTTTTGATTAGTAATTTGTTACCTCAGATTGCTGTGCTTACAAACTCGATACAATTCACCTCACAACACCACCTTTGTAATATTGAACCTTCCGAATTTATTTTCTGTATTCATCCTTTTAGTAATATGATTGTGCATTCTTTTTTGGAAACACCTTCTTATTCACTTCCGTTTGGACGTCTACTCAGCTGAATGGATGTGAATGCCTCACGTCATGATTTCACTGCAGTCAAGTGTAAAGTGCGTTTGTTATTATATGAGTGTAATTCAACTTGAGCGTAAGTATGTGTCGATAAGAAGAAAACACTTACTTCTTCAAATATTGCTAGAGAAAATGAAAATTCCATAGAAATAAATCGTCAATGTCTCGATCTCTGTGAAAAGTCCATTTTTCACGGAAATAAGGTCCTACTTTCCCCTATCGGTTACGCTCGCCTATCAACCCATTTTCCAACACCATCATTTATTGTCATACTGCAGTGGTTCCCTTCGCGTTAATTAATCACCATTTCGCTATCATTTACCATTCGTTTCATCTTACCGTTATCATTATCAGTTCATCTCTAATCACGTCAGAGTGATATTTATCGCATCCTAAACACAATTCGGCTTCTGTTCCAGTGTCGAACAAACTAATTTCATGACGATGTGCAAACCGTGGCTGCTCAATTCTGAAGCTGGTGTCTGTTCAGAGAAACTGCAACAAAATTAGACTGTTTTATCTTGCAACTCCCATCCTGTTGATGTAATCACTCAGAAAATATCGATCTATAATAACTACTTAATGAATTTCGTGAGCGCTGATCTGAACTGATCTAGATGAAAACATTACTTGAAACCTTGCATGAGCCCATAACGTGATCCATAGTGAGTGAGAACTTCATCGTCGTAAATCACTTCACATTTTTCTATCATTAATCAGCTCAACAATAAATCCCGAACATGCGTTAATTTTATTGCGTTATTTACTAAGGTTCAGGTGGCTGGCAACAATAATTATATCCTCAAGCTCTCTACTGTAGAATGTTGCCTAGTTCAGCCATCCACGAATCTGAAATTTCGTCGTCGGATTTGAGAATTTAAAGAATCCGGAGCTATGCAATGAGGTTTCATCCGGTGTTGCGTTTGCTGATTTAAATTCCCCATCAACCAACGTAGTTCAGCTTCAGATGAACGAAACCATAGCCAAGAATTTCCACTAGGTGTGAAAGAGTTAGGTGATAGCACGTCAATGAAAGCGGAATTATTATTTTTGTCAAACATTCGCGATGAAGAGAATAAACGAAATAATAACAATAGACCAAACAAGAAACAACTCGTACGTCAAACAACCCTCAAAGGCTAGCTTACTATGTAATAAATTGACCTATGCAATCGCAAATAATCGTGATGATAATCATAATGACAATAGTAATAATCATAACATAACGATAATATCAATGGTGATAATATTAACAATAGCGATAATTATAATGATGATGATGCGAAGAGAATTATTAATGTTTAATGTCATAAAGAGAATATTACACATCTTAACGTAGGATCATCGTTACAGTGCGATTATAACAAAGAATTATTAAGTCCTCCAACAACTAAAGTTGAAGTTGAAATTTGAAGTTAAGCTGTAGGGGAAATAATTTTTAAAACTTATCGATCAGCAATCAGTGAACGGCACCACGATGAGAGCAACAGGAATATTTTAGTTTTGATAACCTCTAAGTAAGTAAGAAAACGAATGAATTAATACTGACTGATTTCATATTTCAAATATGCCACGCCAATTAATTTCATCTATTATCATCAATTTCATTGGAATTTGAGTTGATTTCTCAATTTTTTGCACATTAAACCTTACCTTACAGCAGCTAATCGTCGAATTGGTCGTTCCAAAAATGAAGATCGAAAAAAGTTTCAAAAGATTCCTCCATGGGGAGCAAAAAAAANCAGAAAAACTGAGAGCCACAAGAAAACTCACAGCGAGAGGGGGAAGAGCACAATTCAATCATACCATATTATATCAAATGAAGTGAAAAACTGAAAGAATAAACAAACCAATTCAAGTAAATGTTGATGAAATTTTGCACTCCAATTATTTGAACATAAATTACTGAGTTGAGTAGATAAGAGTTATGAAATAGTAAAATAGACTAAGTTTGAACTATATTATGATGTGATTTGATAAGCAAGCAAACAAACATTATATTCATCCAGTCATCATATACACATGCATTAATGAACGAGTAATTCATACAGCAATGTTGAGATCGATAACAATTTTATTATAGATTATTTCAATTATAATTGCAATTCTCGAATTTCGTCTTTATAATTCATTTCGTTCGTTTTAAAAAACGCAAAAGTTCGTTTTTCAAACGCTTCATTCTCTCTTGAGCAGAAAGACGCTGTTTTTCGATAAAATGACTCTCGATAAGATTCATATGTGTGTGTATGCATGATAGATGCATTTCCAGTTGCTTTGGTAGTGACTGTTTTTGACGTTGACGTAACGTAGAAATCGCATTTTATCCACAAACGAATTTCCGCATGAGAATGGTGTACATGATTGGTTTTCATCGATTCTGATGAGATTTACAACACAGAGAAGAAATTTTGGGTTTCGTTCAGATTCTGCATCCGATTCATAATTCGTGATGACCAGTAGCATGATCGGCCAACAGCAGCACCGTATTATAGATATGCTTTAGCTGCTCTTTAGTCTGAAACAATTGATCACAATCACAATCTTTTACATTATTATATTGTGTTGTTCAAGAATCATTACCATACACGTTTATAGTGAGTTGAAGTTATGCATTTATTCTATGATAACACTGCAAAACATATAAAACTTATTTTATAAACGGTAATCGGAAAAATCTCTTCATTTTTTCAAATCTCTTTATTTTTATTAATATTCATACATCTTAAATGAACACTTTCAATTAATAGCAGATCAAGCATTTGGTATTCTAGCTCAAAATTAGAATTAATCTATCGTAAATTTGATATGCAAATGCTAGCAAAAAAATTTTTCACTGATTTTCCCAAAAGAAAATAAATGATACTTGTTATTTTAATCTTCAAGAAGAATGTGAGTGAAAGAGGTTCAGTCATTCGAAGAAATGAATGCAAAAAAAAATAGTTGGGTATAATCAAAATGTGTACTACTAACAGATTTATAAAATAAACAATTGGTTGGGTTCTCGTCCTCACCACCAGGACAGTCGACAACATCATCACATAACTGTTCAGCCGTTATACAAACATCGTATTGGTGTGTACTCCGAGACGGACACAGCATTTGTTTGTGACCACGTCGAGAGGAACCACAGCCTGAAATGTGGCACTTCATCAATAACTTAATCACCAAAACATTAAAACAAGATTTGATTGAGACAAGTGAAGATGTTTCACCATTGCTTTTGTCCACTGGCAACGATACAGTTGGTTACTGCAGCATATAATTCTATTGGATTCAAGCGATCATTGATGATCATTTGGTACTTATGACTGATCTTATTAATCATTTTCTGCCATATTATGCTTGTGTTTATTCTAGTTAACTGTNCGAGATCGTTCTGCCAGGTCTAAAGCAAGCTTATAACTGAAATCGTAGGCGATTGCTGCGACATGATGTCGTGCTCTTCTGAGACACATTGAACTTTCATGCATTTGCGAATGACTGAGCAAGAATTCCCTGGATAAGTGACCTAAAATGCGAACGCTCGAAGAAAATTATGACTTCGGTTTCAGACACGCAGAAAATTCGTGGAGTAGTTGAACTTAAGTCCTCAAATGCTTGCGAGATCATACGTGTACACTTGAGATATCACTCAGTTTATCGCAGAATCTTGCATGATCTTTTTTTTTTCAAAGCTCCGAGTGCAGTAGAGAAATTGATGAATGATATATTGTTGATTTCCCACCCAAAATAGATTTCAAAACAAAAAACCATTGTGAAATGTTTGCGTATAAATTATACGTTTAAATGGAAACGTGATAATGATCAAATGTCTAGGCATTTCCAAATGGGTATCGTTGTACAATATAGTATGAGACATGAAAAATTCATGCACACACAAAATTCTTTGTGAGGTTTCCATTTTAAAACAGAATGCGTCTTTTTTTCAATGAGAGATCTTACAGATACCAATACGAAGAGTGTGTTCATTTGCATTCAACGAACATAATGCATTTATAGATGTCTAGAGATAAGCTTTGACAGTGGTTGCAACAAACAACGATAAATAATCGCAGTATGAGAATAACAACGAAAATATTGTAAAAACAACAGAAATAACGAAGATTCTTTCAATGACTATCGCGCGTTTGTGGTACTTCACTTATCTAAAATCAATTGCTCATTCAAATACCTCGCATGCCGCAAATTACTCAGCAAGAATTCGCACAATTGAATACTTTTATCTGCTTCAATTCTACTGAATTTCTTTGTCGGCATTCACTTTATTTCATCAGATCGTAACGAATTCCATTCAACGAGTATTCTATTTTGGTATGTTCAAAGTTTGAACATTTCGAACATTCTTCTCATTTCAGTGCAAAAAAATTGCCAAATTCGATAATTATTCCATACTATTTCCCATATATTCATTTGTTCAACCAACCACAAATGTGAAACGCAATCAGCTTTGAGTCAGCAATTCAAGCACTTGCAAACAGAAGACGACTGATTGCATAAACAGGTAGAATTGCTCAAAAAGCTTCAATTGCGCGCTCACTTCAAAAGCTCTCAGCATTGTACCGACGAGGGAATAATTGAATTGCTATGACTGTGAAAATAATTTTGACAATGAATAAACAAACGATGCATTACCAATCATTGAATTCGAATGGAATTCCTTCAACACAACAAAATAGTTTCATTTCCAATAGAGTATAGAAATAAAATGAATTTTACGAATATAGCGAAT